GCCGCCGCAATCGGCGCCGCGAGCGGCGGCGTGGCGGCGGCGGAAGCAGCGGTGGCGGTGCTGGGAGCGGCGGGGAGGGCGAGGAGGAGGAAGATCCCAACAATCCAGAAGCCGTTGCAACGGCGGCTGCGGCGACGGCGGAGCGCTTTGGGGTGTCAGACCTGCGCGAGTTGCTGCGGCGCAAGGGCGGGGGCAGCGGCGCCGCTGCAGCTGGGGGTTTGAGGGCCGCTGAGGAGGAGCGCATCGACCGGCTGGGGCCCGACGCGTTTGAGGAGGTGGCGGTCGTGGCGGACGACGAGGCGGAGAATGGCGGCGGTGGCAGCTAGGACGCCGGAAGAGTATATGTAAGTAAGGCCAGCCTTAGCCTGCCGGCTGATGTGAGCACCTTGGTTGAAAGATGGTAGTGATGGCGCCAGTGAAGAATGCTGGAATTACAGCGAGCCGCCCAAAAAGTGGAAGCAGCAGGGTGAGGGAAAGCGAACACGGCAGGCAGGGATCAACTGGGACGGCAGCAAAGTGACCCTCTTGACATCAAAATGTGACAACGACAAACTGTCAACCAGCATGGGCGCTGCTCATCCGGCCGCACTATCTGCTGCAGCCCATTCTATATTGGCCAGAACCGCCGCCGCAAGAGAACCCACCAGCTCGTCCCTGTTGGCCCTGGTCACAGTGATCACCTCGACATCCGGCCGCGCCTTGAGCCTTTCCACCTAGGGGTTGCCATTGGAGGATGATGGCAAATCCATTGTGGGGTTGCCACTTGAGGATGATGGCAAATTCATTGCGGGTAGAGGCAGACGCAGGGGGGGGCAAGGGGACCACAGGGCACTGAAGTGGATGTTCTCAAGCAGCAGCGCTGCACCCAAGTTGGATTTCCTGGTGGGCAGCCACAGGCACGGCTGGCTTCTCCCCCCATGGCTCGTTGCATGTGGCACCTCTGGAATGCTGCTGCCATTGCGCCCCAACGGCACGCTGCCCAGCACGGCTGGGCCAGCCTCAAGGACTGCCCACACCGCCCGCATGAAAGCCGGGCACGTCAACTCCATCTTGCCAACCTGCAGTAATATTGTTGATTTGATACAAGCCGTTGGCAGCCCCTCATCCGATGACAAACAACCCAGTCATGCGTGTTGTTGCAGCAGTATCCCACCATTTGTTTGGATCATTGAATTTCTGCCACTGCTCACCTCATCGATCACAACCAGTTGGATTGCCTGGGCCCTGCCACCAGTTGTGCCGGCTGCATGTCTCAGCTGCAAAAGAGGCACGGCTAGGTGCTCAATGGCAGCCACATTCACTGAGTACTTTCCGACGGTGGGGGCTCCCTGTGTGGGAGTGAGGGTGGGGCAAGCGGTCCCAAGGCAGGGAGGTTTGGCAGGTGGAGTCCCAAAGGACAGCCGGTACACGGAGTTGTCAGGCAAGCCTAGTGAACTTATTAGGCAGGGACAGAAGATATGCGGGCTGCAGTCGCAATCGCGGCTTATGGCAAATGCCGCCGCAGCAGCAAGCGCCTCTGTGCGTGCATCTTTGAGGCAACGACTGCTGCATCACAAGCAGCGCACCTTGTCAAGTGGCGCTCCCAGCCGTGCCAGCACCCCGCGTTTAGAGGTGCCATCTGGTTGCCAGGTGATTATGTCGAAGCCGGTACGGGCGCCACTGGCAGACCGGTTCTCCGCAGTCCAAAACCCCTGGAAGCTGCCACGTTGCAGACCACCTTCCTGTAGGCGATCCAAGACTGCGGCTATCAGCGTCGACTTCCCGATGCCTGGCTGCCCGGTCACAAAGACATGCTTGCCGCCAGCCGCCATCTGCTGGGCTTGCGCTCAGTTCTGGACGGCAGCTCCAAGCGGCACGTGCAAATGCTGCGGCTGCCAAAGATGCGGCTGCCGAGGATGCCAAGACTTCTGCGTTCTGGTTTATCCGGTTGATGAACTGCAGGTTGCGTGCTTGTTGTGCTTGGAACGCGCCCTCGCGCGAGAGATCGCTTCGCTTCGAACGATGTGGCTGGCGTACATGCACGGACGAGTTGTCGTCTGATATTTTGTGCGACACAGGCTCGGTCCACATATGCCTTCAATGACCCAGGTGGTGTTCGTGCTGCTGCAAGCGGCACCAAGTGCCTGCGGAGTGACGCTGTGCCCGCCGCACACGCCCAGCACAGCACGGTACCGCACTTAACCCTCTGCCCGCCCTGCACTGGATACCGGCTACCAAAAGGTTGCATTGAAACCGCGTTTTTCGCTTGGATAGCGCCTTGCACATCGCTGCAGCACGTTTGTAGTTGCACTGCATACATGAACACACTCTGAAGCCGGCAGAACCGCTGATTTCGCGGGCTGTGACAGCCCGCGCACCGAAAGTGATGTTGGACTATACACCGCGGGTATCGCAGCCTGTACTCTTCCCAAAGTGATTGCAAGCCACATATAATGGCATCTGTCGGGACAGTGGTGCCAGATACGGACGCAGACTACTGGAACATGGACCACAAATATGTGTCCAAGACTGATGACGAGGCTGAGGCGTGTACAGTCTTCCCCCGCTACAGTGAACCCATCGGGGGTCGGCGGCACGTTCGCTATAGCCGGCTTGTTCGCTATCGCGAAAAGTGAAATTGGGTAGCTGCTGGTATTGGGGGTAGCGGCGGCGTTCGCTGTAGGCAGGGTTTTCGTTATGGCGGGGTTCGCTGTAGCAGGGGAAGACTGTATGCAGGAGTTTTGTGACCGGTACACGCCTGGCTCTGAGCCCTGGGGCTTCTCCAAGGCATAGGCGAGCCGCAGGTTTGGCCGCCTGCTTTGCTTTGCTTTGATTTGATTTGCTTTGTTACAATCGTCTAGGCTAGCTAGACTCCTCGCTCCCGCCACTGTGACCAACTGGTGTGGATCAACAACAGGTGTTGAGGATAAACTAGCCGCCCACAGCAGACGGCAACACACGTAACACCAAACAAGCCAAGATAAAGCTGCAGGTATACGAACAGAGCAATGAGGGCGCACTGCACACACCCAGGAGACATGCCTGGCCCTGGGCCCTGGGGCCTCTCCAGGGCACAGGCGGGCCGCAGGTTTGACCGCCTGCGGCGACGGTAGCGCGGCATCCGCGCCCCCGGCCCCCTGTCGGCGCCCCGGGCCGCCCGATGATGATGATGATTTGTTACCACGCGTCTGCAGCTGCAAGACTCATCGGGAGACGGTCGCCGCGACGGCCCCACGGCCCATCGCCTCCGCCTCCAAAAGTGGGCAGGGCAGGCAAGCA